GTCCTGGTGGCGCTGGGAGGGAGGAAAACACAGCGCTTCACGCATTTCTGGGCTGTTACTATCGAGGCTGTCCTTTTCCTCTTCTCTGTATTGCAGGCGGTGATCTCTTTGGGGTGTATTTCCAGTGACAGCGACTTATTTGGGTCTTGTGTTTTTCTTGATGTGCTTTTCTTTTCTTGATTTGCTTAATACCTTGTGTTTTTCAGACTCGGGTTGTTTCCTAGCTTTTTAGCTTGAGCTTTCTTGGAAGGGTCTAAGTTTCCTATGAAGTTGCCAAAACCCTTAATGACTTTACTGAAATTACGAGTGTGCACTGCAATGTGTTACTTGGGATGTTATGCTCTTTCTCCCTCCAAGTATTAAGACTTGGCAGTCTGTCTAGAAAGAGACAAAGATCGTTGGCTTTTGCATTTCCATGGTATATTGTTCCCTGCCCACATTACATCAGTCACAAGATGAACTGTGCCGTGTTTTGTTTCATCTGTTCATGTTGGAAGTATTGCAGAAATGATCATTATAGGTATTAGGATGAAAGAGAGGTTTTTCCTATGAATACTGTCCTAAATCTCTGAATGTGTGTTAGTATGCATGTTAGTGTGTGTGTGTATTTTCCCAGCAAACTGTAGTAAAACTATGTTCTGCTGGAAGACTTCTAATGCAAATTTGGAATTATGGAGGAAAGCATGTTTTCTGGTGGGGAAGTCACCTTGTTTTTGGCTTCTAACGGTTGCTTACAATGTCTAGCTTGAGAAGTCCGTTTCAGTACTCAGAATTATTTTGGCCTTACTGAAGATGCTGCCTTTACACGTTAAGATGGGCGGTCTTGGTTGTTTTCCTTTTGGCTTATTATTCTGCTTTTTCAAGACTTACTCTGCTTTATATACACATACATTGAAAATGTAGAGCTATCGGTCTTTTTTAGCTTTGTCCCTCGTTCAATAGCAGTGAAGCTCTGTATCTGTGTATGAGCATTAGTGGTTTGTATGTTTGGGGAGGAAGAATCAACATAATATTTTGTTGATGACCAACAATTTAAGGGTGAAGGAAAATCATTGTTAGTAAGTAAATTAAGGTGAACATACGTTGACTTCCTCCCCTCCTTCCCTCCCAAGTGTCAGTGTAGTACTCAGTTGACAAAAACTTTGTTTTTATGACGAATTAGTTTTCCAGGTAGAACTTTTTCCATTTGTACCTCTCAATCTGTGATGTAGTTGATGATGATGAATTTTCCATACTTACAAGTCGTCTTGAAAAGTCTATGTTGTATTCTGTGCAAATGAGAGAAGTCTCTCTTGTCTGAAGAGTTCATGGTCTTCTAGAAGAGGACGTAGTCAAAAGAGACAGGATGACATACTTATTCCTTTTTTTATGTGGTTTAGAGAGCAGGTGGCACATGAAGTGTATATAAGCATATCAAAATAAAGATGATTGAGACATTTAAGTTTTTTTTTTTTTTTTCAACTTTCAAGCTTCTGAATGTATTCCTTGTTTTCTGACCAATATGCTGCAGGTATGCTTGAGTGGATCACAAGGAGAGTGCTTGAATAATATATTCAACGTGAAAATTGTCAGTATGGTTGAGTAAGCCCGAGAAATAAGTTTATACATTAATAAAAAGTAATTAAGGTATTTAGCAAACACTTCTTCACTTGATGTAGCCCAGTTGATTTGACTGCAGTTATGCTTTTGTAGATTAACATTTTTGTTCTGGAGTCTGTTGCAAATAATAGAATACGAATATCTACCAGATCTGCAATCATAGGCTGATGTAAATGATGGACTAAGAAGCATCATCAGTCAGATGAATGATTCTGTGCAACTCCAAACTTAAATTCACCTTGGAACTCTCCTGGAAGACTCCTAGTATTCCAGTTCCTTTGCTGTTCAAAGAGGTCTGATTACCAAACTGTCATTTTCAGGCTTCTACTTGGGATAGTTTTGAGCAATATGAGCGAAACTGGAGATGTATAACAACAAACTCGAGAAGCCAGTAGGTAATTTTACTTTGAATACAAGTTTGGTAGGTTTTCTTCAAAAATGTAAGCTATTGAAAATTGAATTCCTATTTACATATTAAAAGTGAAATTATTTAGGCATATCCTTTTAGGTTCATCCGTTCAGCAAGGAAGTATTCTTACTGGAAACATGGCTAAGACAAATGCGTGCTACAGTAGATATAGCATATAACTGTGACAACACTAACTATCCAAATATTTAATTCTGTAGGTTTATTAAGTTTAATTTTGGTTTAATATTTTGAAGTTTCACTAAATGGGCTCCAAATGAGCTCTGTGTTTTTGCAGCATAAATAAAGTAGTGCTGGAAATGACCCCAAGTATTCAGGACTACTGTTGGCAGCCCCAGAAGGATGAGCTGTACTTACAGCATTATTAGCAGATGTTTGCATAATCTGTTTGCCCGATCTGTGTTTTAAGATACCGTCTTATGAGATGTGGTGAGCTGACATAACTCATCATTGCTGAAGGTCAAAGTCCTGACATTAGGCATGTATTCTTGCTACTTCCTTTATGCAGTCTCTGATGCCGGTCAGATGTTTGCTGATTCAGTTCACTAAAACAGCAGAAAACTAACCCAGTCGGGAAACTGGGTAGCTTTCTGTCATCTCATTTAATAAAATAGAATTAGTGAAGATCGTCAGAACAGATTTAAAGAAGAGGATGGTGCCATTAGGCTTCTGAAACCATATGCATAAAAGCCTC